CATTACATCTTGGGGGAACAATTATACATTTTTTTTTTATAAATTTACCTAGGAATTTCATTATCTAACAATAATGTTTTTCCCATTTTTGTTTTTTAAAAATCGTCTTCTAAATCTTAAAACAGTAAAAGTGGGATAATGACATCTATAATTTTGCAGAATACATTTCATTACTAAAAATCTTTTAATCATTTTCCTATATCCATAATTCCTAAATATTTTCAAAAACTTGATATGCAATGTCACCTTATAATCCACAGAATCCTCTTTGAGAAATGCTATATAAAATCAAACAAGGAAAGTTATCAAGGAATTTAACAGAGAAGCCTCCATTAAGAAATACCTGGGTTTGAGTCCTGGTTCTCCCACTAACCAACCAAATTATAATGACTAATACATGACTATCTGAAGTCATAACATTTATTGACCACCTGCTATGTAACAGGCGCTTTGCGAAGGGTCTTGCGTGTATTAATTTCACTTGATCCTAGAACCCCATATGGCTGGTGCTATTAGTATTCCTACTCTGCAGATGAAGATATAGAGGCTAAGGAAGTTTTCCTGGCTTAAGCTCATAAGGTGAATCAATATGAACTTAACCTGGCCTGTGTCCACTCTACCGATTGAGTTCCCACCCTCCTCCTCTGGCTGTTGGAGACCTGGTTCCCTCACAACCTCCATCCTACCCCCACTACTAGCTTCCCTAACACTGGGCTACTTCTCATTCCCAGCCTTAACACCAACTCTAACACTCATCTCTCCTCTTCACCCTTTATGTTTTCCCCCAAATGCCACTTGTTCCAGGAAGCCTTCCTTGTACTCCATTATACACTCTCTTCATTATATATTCTCTTCATTCAAGTGCACATTTTCATTGAGAAAACTTATAGGAATTAGTTCTTTTTGTAACTATGAGTTCATTATCCAACTCCCTTGCTAGACTGAGGCTCCAAAGTGCCCTCACATCTGTATTTCACCCAACAACGTGAATAAGTGACTCATTAATGACATGTCATTCTCAATTCTTTAGTCAGCAATATGGTCAGTTCCTATTAGCTCATTTCTAAACCAGTGGCTTTCAGCATGACAAAAGGGAAGCACAAAAGATGCGTGAAACTGCTACATTAAACTGCAGGACTTTGGGTGGGTGACCTTGAGAAGGAGTGGGTTTTGAAAGCCATTCCATTCTCTGTTCCTTTTAGAACAGAAGCTTGAATCCATACACACCATTTCTGCTAAGAGAGTTAGTGGATGGCTGGGAGGGCCTTTACACACCTTTTCCAGCAACATGAAGTTTTAAGTCCTTGGAACCATCCCCAAACAAAAATTTGGTCTCAGCCACCTAGCTTCTCCCACCCTGGTGAGTCAGGTAGAAGAGTGGGGTAAGTGGTCCTAGAGGGTGTTGTTCTAAAGTTCACGCTCTCCTGTAAGGGGCTCCACTGCCTCAGTTTACATGGCCAAATAAAGGAAATTCTGCATCAAAGCTTGTATTGAAAATTCACAATACAAATGAGTACATTAGTGAGGCTGGGAGGTCCTGCAGGGAGAAAAAATATCTATTTCATTTTGTTCAGTTCCTAAATTTATTTGGCCATGTTTAGTCATAGCATGTTGTCTTGGATTAGACTGCACCAGAATCAGACCCTGAGATAAGGATTTAAGTATAAGAAGGTTTATTTAGGAGGTGAATTTATAAAAAGCCTCAGAAGCGGGGAAAGGAAGTGAGCTTGGAAAGGGAAGAAGGCCAGTCCAGGGGGTGTTAATGAACCTCCAAATTCACCTTTGGAGGCAACTGGAACTCTGCCTTGCTGGGGACCCATGGGGCGGGCCCACCACAGAGGTGATCTGTCTCAGGAGTGAGGACGCTGGATTTTATTCACCAGCACTCATTGGTCACACACTGAGGGCTGCTTTGAGGGCCACTAGCTCCCTTCTATTTCCGGCCTGCTCTGCATGGTATCTAGAGAAAGATGGCAGGCAAGGATTAGCAGGTGCTCACAACTGACCACTGGTTGTCATACACAGGAACTGTGAGTGCCACGGGGAGATGGGTTCGAGCATGTCTTCCACACCGGTGTCCCTCTTTACTTTTTGCTTTTTCACATAGGGTCCTCATTCATACCTGGTGGAAATAGTACTTGAGGACCGAAATTGGTTCACCGAGTTCCCAGAAGCTACCCTCTAGCTGAACTCATGGAGTCAATGCTATGCTATAGTTTATAAAACCCCAAAGGGAATTCCTGTAAATGACAACAAATACCAAACATATAAATCTCCAGGCTCAGCAGAAAGAGCCTTGGGAGATCATAACTTTTGGGATGCTACATCAAAAAGCCACCTACGGATCCAAACTTAGAATCGAGTTCTTACTCAGGCTGTCTGCGAAAGAGAAAAGTTCTCTTTCCCACAGCCAGGGGCACAGCGGATGCCGTACTAAGTGTCCTATGTATGGTGATGGCAGGCTGCATCTACAAGAAGCTAGAGATTGTCATATGGAGGCACAGAAAAAGACACAGAGCTCTGAGAACCCCACTCGTATGGACTGTCTTACATTCTAGCAAAGTCAGACAATACAATACCAACAGACCAACAGAGAAAAATTTTGTTCAAGATGGTGGTAAAGGTTATAAGTCATTTAAAAGGATAATGGGAAAAAGAGTAGCTGGGGAAGAATTACTTATGGCTGAGTGATCTGGAATGGCATCTTTGAGGGGTAGAATATGACCTGACACCTCTTTGCTTCAGTGAGGAGAGAGAAGGGGATTTCAGGAGGACAGAAGAGCAAGTTCAAAGGCCCTGGGATGGGAATTTGATTGGGGTATTTAAGGACAGGGGCCTGGAGCACTCTGAATGAAGGGTAGAGTACTAACAGTAAGGTTGGCAAGGACAGTTATAGCTGGAGCATGCTGGGTTGAAATTTGGTGTGTTTTTCCATCTGTTTTACTGCTCTTAAGGAAGAAAAAAATACCCCAAAGCATCAGAAAACATTTGCTGCGTACCAAATGATGCTCCCATGTTCTAGATTTCTGAGAAAACTAAGGAAATTCATCGAATTCTATCTCCAGGCAGCCATCCTAATGGTCTCATCTCATTTTTCAGCATTTCTCACCGAGATCTCAAATGGCCTCCCAGATTAAAACCAGCCCCTAAAAGCTAAATGCTGACCTGCTCTTCCAAGGTCTTATGTCCCAGTCCCAGAAAGCAATAATGTACAGAAACAGGGCACAGTGTAGCTAGGACCCACTTCTTGCTGGGAGGAAGTCCGCTGGGTCTATGCCATCTGGTCTAACCAATGGCTTCAGTTCAGCCCCTTGAGGCATACCCAAGGTGGCCCCTTCTGGACTGCCATTCGCTGACTCTGTATGAGGGATACCCAGTGGTGCAGCCACAAGGCTCACTCAGGTTGTCCCCTGAGGACAATACTGCGGAGTCCATCTCAGGACTTTGTAAGGCTTTGTAAGGCAAGAGAAGGCTGGTTCTTCACTCTTGGCAAAGCCAGGGGCAGGAGATGAGGGGAAAGAAGAGGACAACTCTTGGCCTTTGGGTACAGGGACATCACAACAGAGGACTCTGTCATCCTGCAGGAGCCTGGACAGACCTCAGTTTTATCCCACAGCTGGTTCCTGGGCACCAGATGGATGCAGATGGAGCAGGGCTCTCCTATGGAAGTGAGTAAAGCCCGGGCCCTGCCCTCAAGGGGCTACCCTGGAAGAGACAGAAAGCTGGCTACTCCTGGTCATACCAGGCAGAATGAAAGCAGGGGCAAAAGGGATATTCAGAGAACTTCAGGAGAGTACGGGGAAGAGAAATTAATAAGCTCACTGCCTTTCTTTGCTTCACTTTATGGCTCCCTTGTCACACTTACGACTCAGGCTCTTTTAACTGAGGGAAAGGCGACAGTACATCAGGCAACAACAGAGCACTACTGTCAAGAGATGAGGGGAAGTGAGAAGGACAGGAAAACAGCTCATGAAGACCTGGAACAATATCCCCTATTCTGCAAAATGACAGCAGCTCTGAGGGCAAGGTCCTGAGAGATCTTCTTGCAAAGGGTTCTCTCTCCCACTCTCACTGCCTTCACCTTGTGCTTCTGCTGTTCCCTCTGCATCTGGGTCTTTCTCTCAAGATCTTGTCTTTAACAGACCCCCTAGACAGACAGTCTGTTGGGTGTGAAGATCAACTCTTCCACTTACACTTAACCTCGGGCAGGTTGCTTCACCTCTATGTGCCTCAATTTCCTCATCTGTGACAGGTGGCTATTAAGAGGACCTACCTTAAATGGACTTTGTGAAGGTTAAATTAGTTAATACACAGAGACAGAATGACGCTATTTCTATCATGAGGCTGGGGTTCCCTACCTGTGGTCAGGGTAGTAGGCTCTCGTGGACAAAATGGCTCTTTACCAATTCCATTTACTTGGAAGGCAGCTAGGGATATTAGAAGTGCAAGGTCTCCTGAATGCTTAGAATCTCTTAGATTCCTTTCTTCTATATCACAGCATGTTTCAAAACAAATTTTAAAACTTACGTCCTATCATAAAATAATACGGGTTCATTAAAAACTGTTTAAGAAAAAAAAATGGGGCACCTGGGTAGCTCAGTTGGTTGAGCGACTGCCTTCGGCTCAGGTCATGATCCTGAGTCCCAGAATCGAGTCCCACATCGGCCTCTCTGCTCAGCAAGGAGTCTGCTTCTCCAGCTGACCTCTCTCCTCTCATGCTCTCTCTCATTCTCTTCTCTCTCTCAAACAAAAAAGTCTTAAAAAAAAAAAAAAAGAAAGAAAAGAAAAAAAATAGTCCAACAAATAGCAGATGAAAATTACAGAGTAGAGGATATATGATTTAAGGGCGACTCTCCTGACCATACAGTAATCCTGCTTAAGCCATGTGGTTTGTACTGCGCTGACCTTGCTGCAGGACTGGGCCAGCAGACTGGGCTGACTCTCTCCTGGGACTTCTGCTGGAGCTACTGAAAGACACTCTTTTCTTCTGGGACCCACAGGACAAAGGATGAATATGTTTGAAGATTCTGATGGTGAAGAATAGAGAAGAAAGCAGATTCTAGCTTTCTGGGAGAATAGAAAGAAACATGGAAAATGCAAGCTCTCCAGGGACAGGTGAGGACCTAGATCCAGCAATACCTGAAACTATAACATTTATTTATTGGCCAAAAAGTAACATGAGCCAATATGTTTCTTCTATAGATTCTTTTCACTTCAACTAGTTTCGGCTGAGATTCTGTTAGTTGTAAATGAAATAATTTTGACCAACCATCCAGAAATAACCACATTTGCATGTATGTATACTTCCTTCCAATCTTTCTTTCTCTTTTAAGCTCTCTGCATAGTTTTTTGTTTTGTTTTGTTTTGTTTTTTAATGAGAGGGGATCTTAACCTACAAATTTTAATATTTTTTTCCTTCCTGATCCTGTTACAAAATTTAGTACTTCTGGTTAGCATCTAAGTCTTTTTGAGAGAGGACAGAAGAAATTCTGCTGCCCCCACACCCTCCCCTGTTGCTCTTCTGCCCCCTGGAAGGTATTTCAGAGGGCAAGGGGCTATCCTATGATATTCGTGGATTGGCAGCTCCTTCCATGCTCCGTTCTATAGTACCGGGCTGGAGACCATCAGCTTTGATAGAGACTTTGGCCTTAGGTTAGCTTGGACTCTTGCCTAGTCTTTCAAAGCACTTTCCTTTTAAAGCCTCCAAACCCAGCATTTTCCATAAACATCTTACTGCCTTCTTTTTTTATTTTAAGTAGAGAGAAATTCAAGGGTGAGCATGCTGTATATTAATGGTGGTCTAGAGACTAGCAACATGGACCAGAGTTTGAGGAATCCAAAAAGAGATGCCCAGAATGCATTTGACTGCCAAAGAACCATTCGGGGCATAATTGAAAATTGAAATGCTGTAATGACATGGTCGAAATTATACCTGCGATTCCTAAAGAAAATCAGAGGTGGAATAGCCTTTGCTCTGTAATTGGCATGCTCAGATAATGCGGACTGCAGAACATTTGCTAGTAATTCTGTTGCTGGCTTGCTTGGCTTATAGCTCAAAAATAACAGTGAAATTTGTTTTGCTAATCTCTCCTCTGGATTTGTGAACTATTTGTTTTCATTATCTTAAACATAAACTGGAAAGAAAAATCCAACGCAGGGGGAATTTTTATAAGACAGAACACTCGCGTTGTCTTTGGATATGGACGCCACACTTAATTTAATAAAAACCAAAGCAGACCACGTTGGAAGCTCTAACAGAGGAATGTGTTTATAATGAGGGAAGTGCCATAGGTCAGAAATCAAACTTGGGCTTCGAAACTGTGGATTACGGTCATACCCACTGTTTCTTATTCTGCGGGGCGCTTCTGAGCAAGTCACATCAGCTTCCCGGGTTGTGACTGCCCTCCTCTGCCTTGAGCCTCAGCAGTCATACCAGCTCTGCCCATCTCAGAGGCGGTGAAGAACTCAGGAGATCTTAGGGGATTAAGATTTCTTTTACAAACACAAAACTATAACACTGTTCTAATATTCAGGTAATGTTCTCTAGAATTTTTTTTCTAATTAATTTATTTATTTGACAGACAGAGATCTCAAGTAGGGGGAGAGGCAGGCAGAGAGAGAAAGAGAGAGAGAGAGAGAGAGAGAGGAGGAAGCAGGCTCCCCACTGAGCAGAGAGCCTGATGCGGGGTTCGATCCCATGACCCTGGGATCATGAGCTGAAGGCAGAGGCTTTAACCCACTGAGCCACCCAGGCACCCCTGTTCTCTAGAATTTACAGAGTGCTCACGCATCAAACAGATGATGTTGTTGTAATTTTGAGCCATCATCCCCACTCTGTAGATTACAGACGTCAGCTACTAGAGTAGAAAGAGATTCAGTCTTAGAGTCAGGGAGTCAGAGAGTTTAACCTCAATCCTGGCTGTGTGACCTTATGCAAGTTAGTGACCTCTTTGGTCTTGGATACATCCTGTATGTAAGGGGGATGAAGAAACACCTGACACCTGCTTAGCTGCCTGCAACCTTTCTGCTAGAGAGCAGGAAACATATGTATGTACAGTAAGCAGTCCCAGTCAAGTATGAAGGTCAAATAGGCTGATAGACGAGTACAGCAATTATAATAACATTGTAATAGCTGGTTTGTTTTTTTTTTTTTAAACCAATGTCTCTGCCTTGGGCGCCATTCTAAAACCTTTACATGCATGAGATAAGGGACGCTTGTAGCAGTTCTGTGAGGAAAAGGCTGTCATTCTCATTTTATGGATGAGCAAACTGAGGCACACAGGGATGCAATATCTTACCCAAGGCCATCCAGCTAGTAAGTGGCCCCATTGGGGTATGGCGCAGGAAGTCTGGCTCCAGAGCCTGCCCTGGAAAACATTATACTGCATTGTATCTCTAATTGCTACTGTGTATTGAGTACTGTGTGAGCTTTTTCTTCTAAGTGGTTTACAATGATTAAGTCAATGTTCTCAGCAAACCTTGGTTAGAGTTTTAGTTTAGTTTTTAAAAAATGATGCCCAGTGAAAATTGTCAGATAAATGACAATTTCTTATTATAAGTATGTCCCATGCAATATTTGGCATATACTTATGCCAAGAAAATGTCTGAAATTAAAATTGAAATTTAATTGGGCATTCTATATTTTATCTGACAACCCTACCCTGAGAGGAGGTGGGAACTAATCTAGTTCCTTATACTGAGTGGACTTTAGAAAATAGTAATCTCTATCATTATTGGTATTTTCAGGTTATTCTTTCTGATATCTGCTTTCAGTTGTTCCTCTAGCCAACTAAAATCAGAAGCTATATGCATAAAGAAAATAATTGTGATATATTAATAAAATAAATTAATAGTGCTTCTGGAACTCTTTCACAGAAATTGTCTAAGTGATGGAGCCTCATGGCGATCCTGTAAATATTATGCCTATTTAATAATGAGAAAACTTGGAGCCATTAAATAATTTGCCCTAGGGTACAGAAATTTAAAAAAAAAAATCTAAATTAGAAGGAGCCCATGGGTGGCTCAGTCAGTTAAACACCCAACTCTTCGTTTCAACTCAGGTCCTGATTTCAGGATCATGAGATCGAGCCCCACATTGGAGTCTGTGCTGAGTGTGGAACCTGCTTAAGATTCTCTCTCTCCCTCTCTCTCTGTCCCTCCCCCTGCCCAGTTCACACATGTGTCTGCTCTCTATCTTAAAAAAATAGAAAAGAAAGAAAGAAAACTAAATAGAACATCACATTGTGGTCTCTAGGATGTGAGAGCTATGTTATGTTATTGTGTATCAGGTTTTATAATGAAGAAAGTTTGTAGGAGTCTGGATTCTGGCCCCAATTTCCATTAATGGCAGAACACATCTGAAAACTCAAAGCACAGTCATCACTGTAAAACCAGTCTTTTTTCAAAAGAAAAGGCAGAGAGAAAAAATCTTCAAAATCACTATTAAGTCACTAATAGTGACTTAAATGATGCAACAGGATTATCTCATTACTTTTTTCTTGCCCCCAGTTAATAATTTTTCCTTGCCACAGTGCCACCACTCTCAGTGACATGGCTGGAGAGTTTCTATTGATTGAAAAGCTTTAATGTTCTGGATACCTTGGCAACAACTTTATCATCTCCTCAAAAAACCAAGAGGTAAAATCCTTATTGCATTTATGGGAACACTGAGGCTCTGCAAATTGTCAACTGCATATGGTTTATCTTCTGGCTAAAAAGTTACAGACCTGCACCCCAATCTTCTATTACTCCACAACCTATTCTTCTGACAGATGCATGATACACGTGCTACCATGATCGGTCTAATGCCCACTGCAGACATGACTAGTCAGTCATGGTGTTCTTGCCCTTTGAGCCTGGAAATGAGCACAGAACCCTTCTATAAACATTACTCCAGACAGCTGCTACGGGTCATTCGCTGCAGACATTCAATGTCACACCTACGAGCTACCCCTGCAACACCTTCACCTGATGAACGTCTCCATCTTAATGGCCACAGTGAAAAAATAGTCAACTCCGCATGCTGCGTGATGAATGCTACTTTAAGGAGACTGTTTGGTAAGTCTCAGAAATGGAATTCATCTGAGATGTGATGGTTCAGAGGCTGCAATCCAACTGCTACTTACGAGAGAGAGAGAGAGAGAGGATACCATGTGAAGAGCCCGGGGCTCTCTGCCACCAAGCCAATTGGGAAGCCACCATTTCCAAAGTCTTGATGCTGCTGTGATGGTCTGTTGCTCTCCACGGGGGGAAAACTGCACTCTACTCCAGCCAACAAGGAGGCTCAACACCCTGCCTCCTCTCTGAGGAGTTAGGTTTCATTCTCAGACAGCATGCTCTCACAGGCTAATGGCTGGCTGGAAGCTGAGAATGCCCTCAGATTTTGACACGGTACAGATTTAGGAGAGCAACATGCCATTCCTCTGGCTTCCCTGTCTGGAAACCAAGCCCAGTTGGTTCTTTGTGGCCCCCAATTCCCCACACTATCCCCCCACCCCCAGCCCACATATAATGATGCTTTTCTTCTTTCCCTTTCTTGGGGGAAGGATTTAAGAGCTTTGTGGACACACCCAAGGCATTGTTAGCAAAAGTTCAGGAAGGGACCATGAACCCAGTTAGGAATGAGCAGAATCAAAATGAGAGTGGGAGGGAGAAAAAAGGGAACATTATCCTTTAAATACGCCTTTTGCTATGATGAAAGAACTCACCGATATCATGATTAGGACCCCCAAAATATATTTAGGCCCCATTTTCCTCACCTCCATCATTGTCAAAAATCAACAGAGAACAAGTTTATCAAGGTCAAAATACACCTTGAGAGCAGGGAAAGGCTGTTCAGAGTCCACAAATAAATTGGGATATAACAAGCTCAGAAAGGTAGCCCAAGGCTATGGTAAATTGCAGGGGGCACACATGAGGGAAAGAGAAACAAGTGAGCAAGTGAAGGTCTAGAGCAGACATTCAGCACAGAGAGCCAACAAGTCAGGAGGGAATTGGTACCAAGCACCATCATGAAGACTGAGAAGATTTGTAGACACTGACATGGAGAGTAGCTAAGAGCTTAGACTCGAAAGCTCAGCCCTGAAGACTGAATCCACACTCACTGCCTGCTAGCTGTGTGGCCTCAGACAAGTCACCTATAATCTCTAAGACTCAATTGCGCCATCAGGAACATTAATAGCACTTGTCCCGTGGTGCTGTTTTGAGAATTATGTGAGATAATTTGTATATAGAGTCTGGAACCTAAATAATTCAGCACATGTAGTTATCCCTATAATCTATATATGTCTGCAATATTTTATTCAGACTTTTTAAAAAAAGATTTTATTTATTTGACAGAGAGAGAGAGAGAGAGAGATCACAAGTAGGCAGAGAGGCAGGCAGAGAGAAAGCAGACTCCCGCTGAGCAGAGAGCCCCATGCGGGGCTCAATCCCAGGACCCTGAGATCATGACCTGAGTGGAAGGCAGACACTTAACTGACTGAGCCACCCAGACACCCCTTTATTCATATTTTTAAAAGTTATATAGTACTATTTATTAAAGTATTCCATTTATAGAAAACATTTTCTTTATGCATATATATTTGCTCACAAAAGGAGAAAAAATAAAGCTTTGAAAGATATGGACCAAAAGCTTTAACCATGGGGACATGATGATTTTCTTTTTCTGCTTTATATATTTCTATATCTTTTGGCATTTATCTGTACTAAGAGCATGTATTAATTTTATAGGAAAAGATACAACTGTACAACTATTAAAAATTCAAATCCAATGACTTCTGACCCTGAGGCTTGGAATTTAGTGGGGGTTCTAAAAGAGACCAGGGTAGCCCCAACATCCTGAACAAAGAAACAGATGTTCCCTGCTGGGGTCAGCCTTAATGACAAGAAAGGACAGCCACTTGGTAAGAGGGGAAAATGAAAAGGATAAAAGTGCTTAGTGATGCAAAATGGGACAAAACCTGCAGGGTGAGACCTCAACACCTAGTTTTCATGCCAAGAGTAGATATGACTCACCTTCCACCATTTTTAATGAAATAAGGTTCTTTGTGCCATCTTCTTCCATGAAGGTGAAGTTTATTCCTCACCTGTGGCCATGTCTGGACTGCACAATAGGTGGATGAAGTTTGGAAAAATGGCAATGTATCTTGAAGGAAAATTTTAGAGCCTATTTGCCAAGTGAAGAAGGATTTGCGTAGCTGCCTTCAACTGAAGCACTCTGAGCATGAGAAAGTAACTGTGCAAATATAAAGAGAAGGGAGTTGAGGGAAACTGGAAGGGGAGAGGAACCATGAGAGACTATGGACTCTGAAAAACAAACTGAGGGTTTTGAAGGGGCTGGGGGTGGAGGTTGGGGGAACCAGGTGGTGGGTATTATGGAGGGCACATCTTTCATGGAGCACTGGGTGTGGTGCATAAACAATGAATTCTGTTACGCTGAAAAATAAGAAAAAAAAAATATATATATATATAAAGAGAAGCCTGCTGATTGGGTTGAGGTTTTTGGAACTGGCAATTAATTCAACAAGCTGGATTCTTGGATTCAAATTAACTGGATAGAGAGAGAATAAAATTTTTATTGTATTACTCTAATTGCAATGAATTCAAAGTATGATTTTTCAACCAGTATTTTATGAGTGAAAATAACTTTCTTGCCTTCCTATCTTTTGGAGAAGGCATTGAAACAAGGTATGAAACATCTGAAAGCACCTCCATTGTATTTCAGCTTCTGTCTGAGCCAATGAAACCATGAGCTTGGTGTTCATAAGTAGGTTTGGAGCTGGAGGATCCACTTCCCTGGGGACTTGTCCACACAGCTGCAGATGGTGCTCACAGAGGCCTCAGTTTCTTCCCATACATGCCTTTTCTCAGGGCTGCTTGTGAGTCCTCTAGCACCGTGGCTGGATTTGGACAAAGTAAGTTATCTAAGACACTAAGGCAGGAGCTGCAATGCCTTTTATGACCTAGCCTCAAAGTCATACACTATTAGCCTTGGAAGTCATCTTAGACCAGCCCTGATTCAATATGGGAGGCAAATATGGAAGGGAGTAAAAAGGAGGAGAGGATTGGCGGGGGCAGGGGGCATCTTTAAGAATGGCTGCCATAGGCACCAATACACACTGAGTTTTTAGAGCCCATTGGACAATAATGAACAGAGATGATACTCTTGGTGAAGGTTATCAAAACCTGGATTAAGGGTTGGAATAATGATGAGGTCAGACTGTAAGGCCGAGGTTGGATGATTTGACCTCTGAAGTGTATCTGGGCTCTAATTTGGGCCCATTTCCTAGTTATTTCTAAGCTTGAGACCCTCTGCCCTAGAGTTAAATGGACATGAGTCCAGTGAGTCCACTGGTTCCATCAACAAAATATGTGTTAGACCTAGAGCTAGGCCCTGTTCCTACCCCTATCTAATAGCTATTAGCGCTTGTCCCAGGGAAGACTACAAATACTTACCTAATTAATGAATTATGATTTCTCACAAGAAATACATAGGATGCCATGGAGACCAAATTAGCCAGGCAGTATCAAGAAAGTGATAGTGGACTCAGGGATGATGAGTAGGAGAGATCCAGAGAAGTGGGAGTGTGGAGGGAGTTGTCAGTAGAGGGAACAGTATGTACAAATCCATGAGTTGGGAACATGCTAGGGAAGTGTGAATCCTGAACTGTCTGGCCTACACCCAGGAAGTTACTGGTAACTGGGATTCACTTGACTCAGTCCTTGATTACTAGGAGAAAAGTCTTCATCATTTAATACCAAATTATTTCTTCTTACAGTTCCAGATAAAGACATACCAGCTGTTTTCCAGAAATCCAAGGTATTAAAACAAAGTTGTGGGGCATACCTTAGGAGAAGAAAACTTCTATCTCACAGAGTAGGAAAAAAAGCATATGCAATTAGAAAAGAAAATAGAACTGGGCATTTAATTGCTAAAAGCTCTGGTTCCTTCCAATGCCTGAAATTAAATATGACCAGTTCAAGAAATAATGTGAAGTGGGTATTTAAATCTCATAGTCACAGACATCATCAGTGTCACTTTTCGCAAGTAAATCGTTACAAAGGAGTATTCAGCCCTTGTATGGATGGCCAGTGCCATTCCTTTTCTGGGCTCTGAAAGAAGCTCAGATATAAAAATCATAAACGAACAAAAGCAAGGCCATGTAATGGTCCCTTTAAGATAAAACTGGCACGGTTTAACTAGAAATTACAGACTCTTCCAGAAATGACATTCTGTGTTCTGCAGTAAGGAGAGCTTTTTTGTGTGTGTTGTCTCCCCTCCCATTCGGTTACAACAATGAGTCACCATTACCTGCAAAGCTAGACATGTAGCTTTGCTTCTTGTGCCAGAAAGGCAAGACACTAGTTGGCTGGGATTTAAAATGAGAAGGGTAAAAATGTTTAATTTACAGATTTAATTAAACATGAAAGCTCCCAGGAAGGAAAACATGCCCCCCTCCCCCATCCCCCACCTTCAAAAATGTCTCTACTGATCTTCACTCCAAAGAGGCTACGTACATTAGAGAACTAATTTTTAATGATTTGTGTAAAGCATCAATTTGCCCCAAATTAGAAAGACTGTGTAATGAGGACTGGTACAGACAAAACCCCCAAGTGTTATCTGACAAAACCACACCTCTGTAGGAAACTTCTTTACACGTATTTCTATAAAGGCGGTCCCTTCTGCCTACCTATCTTTGGCCTCCATGAGGCACAATGAAGGTGAGGTAGTGGAAACATAAGCTCATACATTTCCCAAGAATATGATGATGATATACAATGTACAGCAGGCCTGAGTTACCTCCTAAGACAACGTCTCTCCCCAGCTCTTTTCCTCCAAATGAGGTCTTCCCCGCCAAGAAACCTGACTCTTATTTTCATAATGCTTCAGGCATGCATAGCAAAGAGCAGCTCTTTCTGCCCTTATGGTTTAGACAAGACCCCTGCATCTGAGCTGAAAAGTTAGAATTTCATCTCTTTGTCTTTGGGAAACTGAGTAGTTAGGGGAGGAAAAAAAAAAATCAGAGTAAACTCCTACTACATCTTTCCAACAATAAAGAAAAGAATGAACAATGATACGAGCACACAGTTTTAAAACTAGCTCCCTATGAATCTAATACAGATATAGATATGTATGTATTTCATAATATCCAGTGGGTTCTTTGGGCATGGATAGGTTGCCCTGTAAGTTAATCCAAGATCTCTTTAGTATTTGCATATTCAACTCTAGTTATATTTCAGGTCCTGAAGCCCAATTTTCCCAATTTTCATGAAATGTGTCCAAAAATGACTCTCATGAGTAAGTGACAAAGGAAGGGTACACTCTTGGATATTAGAGGTGGTGGTGCGATGACAGTGAGCGGACAGCTTTATAACATAAAGCAGAAAAGGGGAGTGCTGAACCCTAAGGGAAGACGAAGCCTATTCATGTGTAGATGAACTGAGTCTCTTTTTTAAGGAAAAAAGAGATATTTTGACTATATAAGTGAGAGAGTATTTAGTTTCTCTAAAAGGGATTTTTCAGGAGCACATTGTTCAACAGAAAATACTACCTAGATGAGATTGTTCCTCTACCAGACCAGAACTGTTTTTAATTCTATTTTCTGCACTGTTAGTACTCAACAAATGAGCAGCTGTATTCCAGCAGCGATAAGTCAAGTACATTCATCGCTCCAGTATCTCTGTGTTCAGGGTTGCCTCCTTGAACACAGATAGTCATAATGGACAAAGGTGGGCATTCTTAAAGGGACACTTATGTTTGAGTCTCCTTACATACTCACAAAAGACTTCTATTCTCCTTTTACTTTTCTGTTAAATTTCTCTAATATCTTTGGTATTCAGTACCAGCGTCATCTTTACCTTTACAGAAATATTTATAATTTCTCAAATTCATTCCCGTGGAGAAGACAATGGCATCCAGAAAGACACTATGAATGCATCATTTTGTCTGCTAAGTACCCTTCCCTTCATCAAAAAGAATCTCTGATTCCTTTGATTCCTTCCACAGGTTTTCGTGCTAACAGAGGTTGCTAATCAGTTTAACTCACCCACCTGTTTAAATGATGAGCACGTGACCTGGCTGAGCCAATCATCATGCCACCTCTGGGGGACTGGCCAGAGAAATCCATGTACGATCAACTTAAGCCAGTAAGAGTCCTATTTGGGATTGAGGTGGAGGGCCCTCTTTGACTCAGGTAGTGATGAAACTGGGAAGAAGTGAGCCTGGAAGAGCCATCAGATCTGCCCCTGGCCACAGGAGGAAACTTGTAGAGGAAATGGAACCAATCAATACTCAAAAAGAATTGAGAGAGGAAGATTGAGTCCCATCTCTGTCACTGTTCACGCAGCTGTTCCTTCAGATATGTGAGCAACCCCCAATTCTCCTAACGAACCCCCCTCTCTTACTCCGTTGACAATTCAGGTTGGGTGTCTGTAACTTCCTGTTGACTGTGGGTTCTAATAGTTCTAACAGCATCAAGAAACATCTTGTGTAGTGGTATGCACGGCATAGGCACCTAATGTAAGCAGGTAAATTAAAGGGCATTTTTAAAAAAATTTATTTATTTGACAGACAGAGATCACAAATAGGCAGAGAGCAGGCAGAGAGAAAGGAAGAGAAGCAGGCTTCCCGCTGAGCAGAGAGCCTGACTCGGGGCTCGATCCCAGGACCCTGGGATCACGACCTGAGCCAAAGGCAGAGGCTTTAACCCACTGAGCCACCCAGGTGCCCCTAAAGGGCAATTTTTTTAAACACTCGGACTGTAGAAAGCAGAAGAGAGATTTCTAAACTGGGTAACTATGAATTTTACTGTCACTATTGGCACAAATAGTGACATTATTTGTAGTCAGGGCTACTAACATTTCAGGTGTTACTATGTGCAGTGATTAAAAGAATAAACCCATGCAGGGATGCCTGGGTGGCTCAGTTGCTGAAACGGCTGCCTTTGGCTCAGGTCATGATCCCAAGGTCCTGGGATCAAGTCCCGCATTGGGCTCCTTGCTTGGGGGTGCTGTTTCTCTCTCTGCCTCTGCCTGCCACTCTGCCTGCTTGTGCTGTCTGTCTGTCTCTCTCTCTCTCTCTGACAAATAAATAAATAAATAAAATCTTAAAAAAAAAATAATAGACCAATGCAGTCCAGTGGAAATACAACTGGAACCACATATATAATTTTAGTCTTCTAGTAGCCACATTCTAAAAAGAAACAGGTGAAATTAATAATATTCTATTTTATTTAACCTAGTATATTAAAAGCTTATAATTTCCATATAATCAATACCAAAATTATTAACGCGATATTTTAATATTGTTTTTTGTACTAAGTCTCCAAAATCCAGTATGTGCTTTACACTTACAGTACATTTCAGTTTGAACTAGCCACAGTTCAAGTGCGCAATAGCGACATGTAGCTTTGATTACTACACAAGACAATTCCCTGGTTTTAATTCTTGTTCTACCACTAACTGGTTCTATGACATTCAGAAACTTATCTGAGCCTCAGTTTCCTCATCTGTAAGATGGGGAGAAGGATAACCATCCCTTCATCATAGGCTGGATAAAGATGTAAAGGTTAGGGGTCTGGGTGAAGTTCCTGCCACGCTGAGCTGTGCTCTGGTGGGGAACGTGGACAACTTCCTGACACAGACATAGGTAAACAGAATGATGTCAGAAGGTGCTAGAAGACAATAAACAGGTGATGGAGAAAACAAGCCTCTCTGAAGGGAGTGGAGTCTGCTTCGAAAGGGTTATCAGAGAGGGCCTCTCCAAGAAGGTGATCAGTGAGTCACCTCAGAGGTCGACAGTGAAACACAGCCAGCCACATCACCATCCGGATAGGAGGCCAGGATCTGTGTTCCAGGAGCCCTAAAACTGTCTTCCTGAAAGAAAACACAGAAACAGGTATCAGAGAGAAGACTCCCATACTGGAAGCCCTGTGCCCGCAGCCAGCACCTAGCTATTTCCCAAGTTTTAGAAGGATGCAGGGCTGGCCACGGCTGCTTAGGGGCTGACAGGCCACCCCCACCAGAGAGAAAATTAAAGAGACAAAACAAACTCAATTGACAGAAGGGGCTTCGGGCTTCCGTGGTGGCATGAATAAAAACCCGGAGCGAGGTAATTTCAGGCAAAGCTGGGTTTCGAATAGGCTCATGCAGGTGCCACGGGGCAGCCCCGACAGATCTTCCCTGGAGTGTGGAGTTTCAGGACGGCCCTGAGCTTGTGAGGTCCTGCAGAGGCACTCTCTCTGGGCGGTGCACCTCTAGCCGGGCTTCTGCCAAGTGCCAGATCGTCCTGGCTCAGGGCTGGGCCCGCTGCTGGCTGTCTTGTTTTTATTCCCTCTGCCTGTTTCTCTTTGAAAGCAAATTGCTCCCCAGGCTGTTTATGACATGTCTGAGGCAGCTGGCTTGGCAGCCTCCAGAGTGGTTAGGGGTTTGCCATCCGGGTAGGAAAGCTCGAGAAGGCAAGCTACTTCTCACATCAACAAGGGCTTCAGAAAAGGGTTCATGCCAAGCCCTTGCTCAGCACCGAGTATGCACCAACTCCTTTCATCCTCCTCAAAATAGCCCCAAGAGAGAGGTCTTGCTGCCCACATTCTGCAGTAGAGAAAACTGAGGCTTGTAAAGGTTAAGTCATTTCCTCAACGCCACACAGCAATTACGTGGTGACTCCAGACTCTTTGATATTTTCCCAGTTCTGGGCTAAAGGGGAATAGTTTAAGCTGGAGCGCGGGGAAGTACCAGACATGTCATGCGGCTGTCTATGAGTCTTTCCTAAGTAAGAAACTCAAGCAAGGGAAGAAATTGAACTCGACTCCACTCAGTCTCTGACTTCACACACCCAGTTCACCACGTGTGGATCCCTCCTTTTGTTCCCAAGCCGGCTCCAAAGACAACAGACAATGCGTAGAAAAGATGCACTTAAGGGCATAGGGAGTGCATCACTGGGAACAGCATCCAGAGAAAGGGAAGAAAGAATTTGGATCAGCACTGCAAAGCCAGATGTTGAATTCATTAATAGATGCCTTTAGGAGCGTTTTTAGAAGCACAGGATCATCAGATTGAGACCAAAATTCAAAGGAGAAATAGAAAGCAAAAACAGATTGGGGGATTCACCCTCAAAAGGTCATCCTTCCCACCTGCAGCAGGAGCTGGAGTTGAAATTTGGTTGCATCATATAGGATCTGTGCATGGACTTCCTCTACTTCACGTCACCCCCACAGACTCACACCCCTTCCTGGTCAGGATCAGTACTTTCTTTTTCCTGATCATCCCTGGTTATCTTTGCTCTCCCTGACACTCTGACACTCTTGTTACTCCCTCCCCCTCCTCATTACTGTGTCTTCTCCTGCCTTCTGTAAGATCATGTAACAATGTGAGAGTTCTGTGTTGGAGTATAATAACTGAGCCCAAAACTGAGTGGTTTAACACCATGCACATTGCTTATCTTGCAGGTTTTGGGAGGGGGGGGTGTCAGGAAGTCAGGCACAGCTTAACAGAGTTCTCCCTCTTGGGGTCTCTCACAGGCCAATATCATGGTGCTGGATGGAGCCCCAGTCCTCCCCACTGGGTACAATCTTCTTCCCAACTCACTCAGTGGGTGCTGGCAGGCAGCAGTGCCCATGGGTGGGGTGGGTAGAAAGCTTCACTCACCCTTGGTCAGTTACTGGAGGCAGCGCTCAGTTCCTTGCTAGGTGAGTCTCTCCATGGGGCATTTCATTAGAGCAAGCAAGAAAGCAATGGCAAGACAGAAATCACAGTTTCTTGTCAGTCAGTCATGGAAGTGCCATCTCATTACTCATGCTATATTCTGCTTGTTAGAAGGAAGTCAATACATCCAGACCCTGCTCTAGGGGAGGGACCTGCACAGGAACATGGGAACCATTGGTGGCCATCTTAGAAACCTGCCTATCATAACAATCACGTACAACATTTCTATTTAGTACTATACCAGATATATCCAAATGTCCAGTAAATGATGGCCATGTGTGACTTTACATTCTCCTGTTCTCCTACCTCTTCCACTGCCCTTGGGTTCACCCAAGAGGATGGAGCAACTGTTGGCATCAGATATAAGAAAACTTAAGTATTCCTCCCCCATGCCTGTCTACATACACACTTTTTCCCCCAGGGGGAAGACAGAGTAATCATTCTAAAGCCCAAATCTGATCATGTCACCTCCTGCTTAAAACTTTTCAATGGGTCTCCAACATCCTTAACATGTCCTTATGATGGCTTTGGAGGCCAGGCATATTAGACCCCAATGTATCCCTCCCAGTCTCATTTCTCTCTATATCCCCTCTCTCCTTTTAAATGTTTCAGCCATGCTTACCTTCCTTTGGCTCTGTAAACATGCCACATTCTCCCTTCTCAGCCTGTGCCAAATATATTCCCTCAATTCAAGGCTTTGCACCTCAAGAAAAGAGGGAGTTCCTTCTTTTATTCTAGAACCCCCATGAAGGCAGAGAATATGCCTATTAGTTTATGGGCCCATCCTTAGGACCCAACACACTGCCTGGTGGCAGACAGCAGCCATGGAGAAAAGACTGTACCCATAGAAGATGGTAGCTGACATTTAGTTTGCCCTGACAGCACCCCACAGGCAGGGGAGCTATGGCTTTGCTGGGTATAGGATTTTCTTCCTGGTACCTGCTTCTTATACTCTCCCTCATCCCAGGATGCCTTCTTTCAGAACAGAAAAAGGTGATATCATAACTTCAGGGCACTATGTTTTTAGGGCAACAAAATACACGAAGAAACATATCACGTATTATGATGGGGGTTCCTGACATGTTTTTGTTTTTGTTTTGTTTTGTTTATTACCTGAGAGAGAGTGAGTGAGAGCATGTGAGCAGAGGAGGGACAGAGGGAGAGGGAGAGAAAGAATCTCAAGCAGACTCCCTGTTTGAACACGGAGCCCAACGTGGGGCTCAAAACTATGACCCTGAGATCATGACCTGAGCTGAAATCAAGAGTCAGACACTTAACTGACTGAGCCACCCAGACTCCCCCTGACAGTGTTTTCAAAGGAATGAATGACACAAGAGATCCAAATACAAAGAACGCCCATCCTTCTTGCAAATGACATCAGCTGACATTCATTCCATACTTAACGACATGTCCAGTGGGCTGCAAGGGGTTTCTCAAGCAGCAGT